TGTGTGTAGTGCCTAAGGAGGCCAGAAGATCCCCTGGAACTAGAGTTACAGATGGTCGTGGGCTACCATGTGAGTGATGGGAAATGAAGCCAGGTCCTCTGCAAGAGCATCAAGTGCTCCTAACCACTGAGCCATCGCTCCAGCCCCATGTTATACCCTTTTATGTATATTATATTTAAATAAAATTAAATGAGAAAACATTATGGGGGGGAAGAAAAGATGTATTTTTCAAAAGGAAGAGAAAAATGAAGCTCTAATCGTGGTTTATTAAAAGTATTAATTTGAGGTCTGTCATGGTGGTACATGCCTTTAATACCAGCCCTTGGGAGGCAGAAGGAGGCTGACTCTGAGTTTAGGCCAGCCAAGGCCTTCATAATGAGACTCTTTCTCCAAAGAAAGGAGGGAGGGAAGGAAGGAAGGGAGGGAGGGAGAGAGGGAGGGAGGGAGGGAGGAAGGAAGCAGTTGGTAAATGCATCAGAGTTCACTTTACTCTTCATTTTCTTTCCTTTTAAAAAATTTTTATTTATTATTTTTATTTTATGTGTATGAGTGTATTGCCTGCATGTAGGTAGGTGGACCTGTGTTATGCAATGCCCACAGAGGTCAGAAAAGGACCTCTGTGGATTCCCTGGACTTGAGTTAAGGATGGTTGTTAGCTACCATATGGGTACTAGGAACTGAACTTGGATCCTCTGCCAGTGCTCTTGACCGCTGAGCCATCTCTCCAGCCCCTACTCTTCATTTTCTGATAGCCAGATGGTTTAAGATCCACTTATGTCTTGATCACTAAAAGCATAAAGTCTTGACTGAAGGTTAGCTCCTACAGTAAAATAACCAAGCTTGCTCAATCCTTAGGAGGTTTTATGTCACCATCTGACAGCTGCTCCTGAAAGTATGGCTCCCCAAGTTTTTGGAAATACCTGATCTGCTCAAACTATAAACAAAATAATTTCCTTAGCTTACTGATAATTCTGTTACTGGCATTTCTGAGCTTTAACCAGGAAACTGCTCTATGGTTAACCTGACTCGTAGTTTTGTTTTGTGTTTTTTAAAGACAGGATCCCATGTAGTCCAGGCTGACCTTGAAATTTGCTATATAAATGAGAATGACCAGCCGGGCGTGGTGGCGCATACCTTTAATCCTACCACTCAGGAGGCAGAAGCAGGTGGATCTTTGTGAGTTCAAGGCCAGCCTGGTCTACATAGCAAGCTCCAGGCCAGCTAGGGCTACAAGGAGACCCTGTCTCAAAAAAGATAAAATTTTAAAAAAGAAAAAAATAAATAAATGAGAATGACCTTAAACTTCTGATCTTCCTGGCTTTACTTTCACAGTGCTGAGATTATGAGCCTATGCCACCACACCTGGTTTATATGATGCTGGGAATGAAACCCAGAGCTTTGAGCATGCTAGGTAAGCACTCTGCCAACGGGACTAAATCCCCAGCCCATTTCCACCTCTTACAACAAAGATTGAGTAAAGAAAGATGAAGTGATAGGCTGAGAAGTGACTTTTGGTCAAACTTGTAAGCCCACCTGTTTGTTAGCACTCTCAATCTTACTGTGCATTTGATGAGTTTTCCTTTGCTGAACTGCAAACAACCTACGTGAAAAGCAGCCCTAGCTGGGCATGGTGGTGCACACCTTTAGTCTCAATGCTTGGGAGGCAGAGGCAGACAGATTTTTATGAGTTTGAGGGTAGCCTGGTCTACATACAAGTTCCAGTCCAGCTGGGGCCACAGGGAGACTGTCTCAAAAAAAAAAAAATAGCCCTGTAATCCCCCAAGGCTTGTGTCCAGAAGGCTCTTATTAATCACTTCTACTCTGTATCAGAAACAACAGTAGCATTTATGCTAGAAAACCTCCAATTCTGCATACCAAGGCTTGCTGCTTACAGATGTCAGCTCTTTCATTGTAAAACAAATGGCTTTATGCCATTCTTGAAAATCCACTGATATCAGCTGTTTATCAGGTTCCATTTGTGAAACATTGTGTCCAGAAGGCTCTTATTAATCACTTCTACTCTGTATCAGAAACAACAGTAGCATTTATGCTAGAAAACCTCCAATTCTGCATACCAAGGCTTGCTGCTTACAGATGTCAGCTCTTTCATTGTAAAACAAATGGCTTTATGCCATTCTTGAAAATCCACTGATATCAGCTGTTTATCAGGTTCCATTTGTGAAACATTTGGGAAAATAAAGCAAGACCTTCCTTAAATGGCGGATGTAGAGTATCCAAATTCGGTACATTGTTATGAAACATTCAGCACATGTAAGCAGGATGAATTCTGTAGTAACAGGGTCTGTCTGCCTCAGGGTTGCATCACACAAATATGCAGATGTCCATCTTACTTTGAAAAGTACCCAGTTGTAGTCATTGGTGATCATCTTTTATAGAAAATCACTTTCTTCAGAGTAGCAAAGTTCCTCTTGATTTCTCAGTCTTTTCACAGTGTTATACAACTTCAACCTTGAGCCTGAACCTTGTTTCCTTTTCTCATACCCGTATCCAGATTTAGTGGGATCTGTCCTCAGAATACACTGAATATAAATCAATTCTTTCTCTCCACTTCTGCAGCTGCCACTGTAGTTCAAAAGCTGGTTTCTCTTCTATGGAGTGTTAAAGTAGCCTCTTTGCTGGCCTGCCTTTATCCATTCCTGGTCCCCAGTGCATTCTCCACATAGTCAAGATCAGGCATGTGTCTCATACCCGAGTGCTCTCATCCTCCACGTCTGTCTTCAGCATAGTGGCCTGAGTTTCTTAAATGGGGGCTGAGGCTCTAAGGAGGGAGTCGAAGTTACTTGGGTTTGGTAGTTCTAGATTGTGACTGTCTCTATATCCTGTTCATCATAACTCTCTTGGTTCAGAGAAAAGCATTCATATAAGGGAGGGCAGGAGTTGGTGGGTACATGTGTGAATATTAGGTGCCAGTCACCTAAATGGACTAGATGGCATGGCTGAGACTCCTCCAGCTTTCTCTTCACTCACTCCATTCTAACCACTAGGCCTTCAGGGCCCTCTAGCATGCTGGATAGACTGCTGCCTCCCAGGGTGTGTGGTCTCAAAATTGCCATTGCCTAGTTACTCTTCCCCCATATAACAAAATGTCAAGTTTTTTTTTTTTGTTTCTTGTTTTGTGTGTGTGTGTGTCTTAAGTTCAGATATCACCTCTTTAGGAAAACTCTCTGTGACCAGGTAGCCTTAAGTAACTACATTATTGTTTAAGTTGTTTCATAAGCTTGTCACCAACTTCGCAAGTTCAGGCAATACCTATTTATTAGCTCATGGTTCTAGAGCCTAGGGAGTCTGGCACATCATGGCTGCATTCTCTACTCAGGTGTCACAAGGCTGAAATCAGTGTGCAGGCCAGCTGAGCTCTTACCTAGAAGATCCTGGGAAAATCCCCTCAGCTTATCCTTGTTGGGAGACCATTCCTTGCCATTATAGTAAGATGAGTCCTCATTGCCTCTCTAGCTCTCAGTAGGAGCTGCTCTTAGATCTGACTATATTCTCCTTGCCACATGTTCATCTTCCTTTTCTGCAAACACTTGGGGGGGAAAAATGAAACTCTGCTTTTGAAGACCTCATATAATTAAGTATGAGGAGAGCGGTTGTGCCCAGCTGGCCTGGAACTCATTATGTAAACTAAACTGGCCGTGGACTTGCAGTCCTTCTGCTTCAGTCTCCTGAATTCTGGAATTGCAGGTGTATGCTACCATTCTTCATTGAGTAATCTCTCTGTTTTAAGGTCAACTGATTTGTGTCCTTATTTCAATCACAACAGCGCCTACGTTAGTGATTGAGTGAGAAAGGCATGTATCTAATGAGACTTGGGGAGCCATCTTAGAATTTTGCTTGCCATGATACCAGTGATTTTTGTTCTTATTAAAATTTTTATTTTCACATTTATTTATTGTGTATGTGTGTGCATGCATGCACATTCCACAGCATGTGTGTAGAGGTCAGAGGGCAACTTGCAGGAGTCAGTTTCTGCCTTCTACCATGTGGGTTCCAAGGATTGAACTTAGGTCACCAGGTTTGGTGGTAAGTGCTTTTACCCCTGAGCCATTTCACAGGCCTTTTCTGTTGTTTTATTCTGTTTTTTTCTTTATAGTACCACTTATAAAAATGTGCTATTTGCTTATGATTTTAATGTGCCTCTTCTCTAGAATGTGTTCTTGATGATACTGTGTTTTTGTTCATTATTATATTCTTAGCCCCATGGACAGTGTTCAATACATTGTAGATGCTCAATAAATGCTTATTAAATGATTCAGTTAATAAAAACTTTATGACATTTAATTTTTTATGACTATGAAGATGAACTGTTTTTGAAAAGGGTAACAAGCATGTGAGTTGATCTGCAAAGGTACTATGAGATCTCTAAATACTCATAAGGTAGGTGTGAGCAAGTAATTGCCTAAATGTCTAGTAACTGCTATATACAAGAAAGAATACATGAGCTTTTTTTGCTTGCTAGTACTTTGTACTTTGTACTTTCACTTTTCATATGTGTATCTCTATAAAATAAGAGTGTCTGAGCTGGATGTGGTGGTGTGCATCTTTAATCACAGCGCTCTCTGTGAGTTCAAGGCCGGCCTGGTCTATATAGTGAGTTCCAGAACACCTGGAGCTACAGAGAGACCTTGTCTCAAAAAGACCAAAAAAAAAAAAAAAAGTGTATGAGTCGTGTAAGTGAAGCGCCAAACTCCTGGGAGACAAGGAGGCCCCTTATTTAAAAAAAGCAAAAAAAAAAAAAAAAGAGTATCTGAACTTTTAGAAATGGATGCTTGGTCTTCCTGCAGTATACCTGAGTTACCACCTTACTTTGGTATTTCTGAGGCATTCCACATAATTATATTTCACAAATATTTAATTTCTGTAAAAATAAGAATAACTCCATAATAAAAATAAAGTTAGCATATCAGAACATTATATCTAGTTCCCTTAATTTCAGCACTTAACTGTTACATGTTTCTTTTAATCTCTTCCTTTTACAGACGAAACTTGCCAATGGCACTTCCAGTATGATTGTGCCCAAGCAACGGAAACTCTCAGCAAGCTATGAGAAGGAAAAGGAACTGTGTGTCAAATATTTTGAGCAGTGGTCAGAGTCAGATCAAGTGGAATTTGTAGAACATCTTATATCCCAAATGTGTCATTACCAGCATGGGCACATAAACTCCTACCTAAAGCCTATGCTGCAGAGGGATTTCATAACTGCTCTGCCAGGTATGTAGACATATACTTGTGAACTCCTCATTAGCTGCAGTTGTAACAGGAGTGCATCTTCAGCTTACATTTCTCTCTGTGATCCACACAAGCTTCAAACTCTTATTAGATAACCCAGGTCAGCCTCAAACTTACAGCAGTTCTTCTGTCTCAGGCTCTCAACTATAAGACAACACCAGTCCTGGCTACATTTCTCTTTTTAAAAGTCTTTATTGGCAGCTGGGTGTGGTGGCATACACCTTTAATCCCAGCACTCAGGAGGCAGAGGCAGTCAGATCTCTGAGTTTGAGGCCAGCCTGGTCTACAAAACGAGTTCAGGCTAACTGGGGCTACAGAGAGACCCTGTCTCAAAAAGACCAAAATACAAGAAAAATCAAAGTGGAGAAATACAAGTTCCCCTTTACTCTGTCTTGACTTATGCCCTTCTGTTCAGCCTTTTTATTTTATGTGTATGATTGTTATGCTTCCATGTATTTAAGTGCACTTGTGTTGTGCAGTGCCCTCAGAGGACAGAAGAGGACATCAGATCCCCTGGAACTGGTGTTACTGATGGTTGTTAGCTGCCATGTGGATGCTGGGAAGTGAACCTGGGTCCTCTGCAAGAGCAGCCAGTGCCCTTAACTGCTGAGCCATCTCTTTAGCCCCATGTTCAGCCTTTTATGTTTAACATATATGTAGGTCCAAATAAAAAAAATTTTTCTGAAGTGTACCTGATTTGAGGTTTGATTTTTATGTTTTAATTTCAGTCTATCATGTACTTCAATTTGAACTGCTCTGGGAATTTATCAACAAAATTGTTTGTTAATACAGTCTCTACCCAGTTCAGACTGTCTAAAACCTCAAAGTCCTCCTGTATCATCTTCCCAAATGCAAGCATGCACAACCATACTCCATAACAGAATACTTGAATTGTAGGAACAATACACATTTTCGAGTATTTTAGAAAGAAGGAATCTTAATCCTTGTTTTGATATGTTATTCACACACACACACACACACACACACACACACACGCCACATGTATGCACACAAATAAAATGAGGTACTTAAAATACTTTCTTTTGGCTATGGTTTTTCAGGGGATTAAACCAGTGTCTTTTTTTTTTCAAATATTTTATTATTTTTAGTCTGTGTGTATAAGTGTATTTCCTGCATGTATGTGAGTGTACCTGTGTTGTGTAATGCTTGCAGAGGTCAGAAGAGAACATCAGATCCCCTGGAACTGGAGTTACACATGGTTGTTAGCCACCATGTGGGTGCTGGGAATTGAGCCCAGGTCCTCTGCAAGAGCAACCAGTGCTCTTAACTGCTGAGCCACCTCTGTAGCTCCCTAGGGTCTGCTTCATATTAGACAAACACATTATTATTGAGCTGCACTCCCAATCCCTGAATTGTGTGTGTGTGTGTGTGTGTGTGTGTGTGTGTGTTGGTAGGTATTGAGACCCTATATAAACACTCTGCTACTAAGTAATACCTCCAGAGTTCCCCTCTCCCAATTTACAGTTATCTAGGACACTGCATAAGCATGGGAAAATGAGGGAAATGTAAAGTTTTTATGTGGGCCAAAAGTTTTATTAGGAACAAAATTGTAGTTACTATTAACTAAAATGTCAAGACTTGTTGGCGGGCACTGTATTTTCTGGTTTGATTTTGATTTTGATGATTATTTCCTAATTACAGAAGTTATAGGAAATAAAATATAAAAATAAAAAAATAGGGGCTGGGAAGATAGCTCAGCTGTGGAAGCTTGAGGACCTGAGTTTGATCCCCAGGACCTACGTTAAAAAAAAAGCCAGGGGTGAGGGTACGTATATAATCCTGGGAAGGCAAAATAGGCAGATCCCTGGGGCTCTATTGCCTCTGTTCATACTTGTGTGAACACACACATGCACACACAAAGTATAAAATATAAAAATAACAATTTCCCAGAACTCTACCACAAAGAGAAAACCACTGTGCTACTAGTATTTTGGCATTTAGCCTTTTTGTTTTGTTCAGGTATGAATATTTCCCTATGATCTAAGATCATGTTTTGTAACACCTTTTTTTTTCCTTTTTGGTCTTTTTGAGACAGGGTCTCCCTGTGGCCCCAGCTGGCCTGGATTCACTATGGAGACCAGCTTGGCCTTGAACTTATAGAGATCCGCCCTGCCTCTGCCTCCCGAGTGCTGGGACTAAAGGCATGTGCCACCACACCTGGCTGTAACACTTTTCTTAGTACATTCTCGTCGTATATTTTCATTAAATATGTTAAGGTATATTTTCCAAAGTGTATGTTCTTACAAACATTTTATTTACTGTAGTATTCTTCCCAATAGTTTAAACACATTGTTTAGCCCCTTCATTAAACCTTTAGGTAGTTTTTATTCTTTCCCTATATAAATTATGCAATGGTACACATTCTTATGCATTAATCTTATAGACGGCCTTGAGAGAAAACATCCAACGTAGAATTACTATATTAGAGAATATGAAGTGGTTTTATTTGTTTTTGGTATGTGGAAGGGGGTGTTTGAGTTTGGATTTGGGGGGGTTGCTTTATTTTTTTGAGACAAGGTCTCACTATGCATCCCTGGCTTGCCTGGAACTTGCTATATAGATCTCATATATACTTGCTATATTGAATTCACAGAGATCCACCTGCCTCTAACTCCAAAATGCTGGGAGCAGACTCCCTCCTCTCCTTCCTGTATTTTTTGGAGATAAGTTTTTTCTGTGTAATTCATGTTGGCCTTGGACTTTCACCATTCCTCAACCTCCCAAATAATGGGCTTACAGGTGTGTACCTCCACACCCACACCCACTTCAGTTTTAAGACTTTTTTTTTAATATTTTTTATTTTTATTACTTATGTATATATGTGTGTGTGTGTGTGTGTGTGTGTGTGTGTGTGATTTGAGTGAGGTGCTAGTGTTACAAGCTGCTGTAAGCTGCCTGATATACATGCTGGAAATCGAACTCGGGTCCTCTGGAAGAGCAGTACAGGCTCTTAACCACTGAGCCATCTCTCCGGCCCCCAGTTTTAAGACTTTTGAAACATGCTGGCAAGCTATCCTCCAAGAAAAATATACCAACTTAGTAGCCTTCTCAAAGCTACATAGTACTACTTTGTTTAATCTTTGTGAGCTATATCTTTTTGGGGGGGGGGTGAGACAGGGTCCTTCTGTAGTCCCAGCTGGCCTCGAACTTACTATGTAGACCAGGCTGGCCTAGAACTCACAGGGATCTGCCTGCCTCTGCCCCCTGAGTGCTAGAATTAAAGGTGTGCACCACCACACACAGCCTCTGTGAGCTATATCTTAAAATTTTGTTTTTCTAAATTTGGGATTTAATTTGCCCTTTAAAATTAAAGAAATGCTTATTTGTATCTTAGAAATAACCACTTTAAAACTAAATCCTACCTGTGCCCTTTGTTAAATAGATTTTTGCCCTCTTGTAATATATTGGATTTTATTTTAGCCATAGGCAAGCAGTTTTCTTTGTACAAACAATCTGAGTGTACTTATTGCTATGTTCCCCCCAATCATTGAGAGATGCTACTATCTCAAACTTACACCACTAAGAATTGAACAGGAGTTGATTAGACCAGTGTATTTTGCCTAATACCGATCCCTAGTGTGTATCTGCTGACCACTCTATGAGGTATTAAATTGTGTCTAATGCTTTACAGTCATTTAAACTTCTAAACCTACACCATCTGGCTACATTTAGTAAACCAAACTACTTCAAAAACTGCCTATAATCCGTTAATGTAATGGTTTTGTTTGGAGTGTTAGGTGAAATTACTTCCAGCAACTTATTACAGGTACATAGTAAATGATTAGGAGCAACTTGATGGCAGCCATTAAAAATATAAGAAAACCTTTTGGAAACTTCTGATGTTGTAGAAGTTTGAATATAAAAATTCAAGAAATGAGCTGGGCATGGTGACATGTCTTTAATCCCAGCACTGGGAGGTAGAGGCAGGAGGATCTCTGTGAGTTCAAGGCCAGCCTGGTCTACATTGGGAGTTCCAGGCCAGCTGGGACTACAGGGAGACCCCATCTCAAAAAAAAAAAAAAATTCAAGAAATGCATCATTATATTTTGCGTGAAGAACTAATTATTATTTCTTTAATTGGCTTATAGTCATGTTCCTTTAATAAGAATTAGGTGATGGATGTTTCCATCTGCTTATGCTTAAATATGAACATGTGATACCAGCCAAACAAGATCCATTTAAAGCTTTCTTCCCCAAGTCAGCTGGAAAATGTGACAGCTATCCATACAATTTTTATAATTAGAATAATGTTTAATAAGCATATTTGGATTGTTGCTAATGACATCCAAGTGTGTCTCCATATGATTCAGGGGAAACCCACAAAGTTCAATGTAGTATTCTGTCCTTTTCAGTTCATGCTCATAGAAGAAAGACTCTGAAAGAATTGTCAACTACATAAGTCTTTACAAAACCTTAAAGAGTAAAAACTTTGAATGTTTTTGTCTCAATTGTGAACTTAGAACAGCAGCCAAAAAAGGCAGACATCCTATTTTATAGTTCTTTCCACTAATTCTTTACAGATTTGGGTGGTAGAAAGCTCTAATTGCAAAGCCCTCCAAGTCACACCACCCATGATCAACTTGCCATGTTCTCTTGTACTTCCTACAAAAGGTCCTCTGAAATGCTATCCAGTTGTCTATTGGCAAGATTTTTTTCCATTTTTGGTCAACTGTCACTTAAGTTTATAGCAGTAGCTATTCTCAAAAATGGTTTTTAAACATAAGAAATTAAACTCATCTTTGAACTTTAACATACCTCTATGTCTTTCCTCTTAGGATGCTCCTATACAATCTGTATTTCCATCTCACTTTCTGCATGCCCAGAATTCCATAACCCAGCACATTCTGACTTAGTGCCTCTCCCCAGTACATTTGAAAGATATTTCTTTCATTGAATAGCTTTGGAACTGCAGCAGTAATAGAAGCAGAATGAGAAATGGACCTAATATCAGGATTGGGGGGTCTGAATCTCAGAGTTTGAGATGCCATCTGTAGAACGTCCCCTAGTGCTGAAATCCATATAGATAGATGTGAATTGTTTTCTAGAATCCTTTTTATTTTTAATGTCTTGGGGGTTTACTGGTTGTTAGCTTTAACTTTCTTATCTAACAGAAAAGGGAAAATACTGTTCATTTCTGTAACCTTATGGAAAAATTATTGACACTCATTTTACCCAAGCCTCTGTTTGAGGAAGAAACTGGACTACACTAGGGACAGTGATGTGCCTTCATCACAGCAAGTGCTGTTCTGTTTTAAAGGACCTTTTGTGAAAAATTGTTCAGCACCCTCTCTATTCTTGTTCTTTGCTTCCTCCCCTCACCATAGCACGGGGTTTGGATCATATTGCTGAGAATATTTTGTCATACTTGGATGCCAAGTCACTATGTGCTGCTGAACTTGTGTGCAAGGAATGGTACCGCGTGACGTCAGACGGTATGCTATGGAAGAAACTCATCGAGAGAATGGTCAGGACAGATTCTCTGTGGAGAGGCCTGGCGGAGCGAAGAGGGTGGTGAGCCTTTAACTTTTCTTCCTATTAAAGAGCTTCTAGACCTGGTCATTTAGAATCACTAGAAGATTGTTGGAGCCAGTAAGACCACTTATCATTTACTATAGTTACTTTGCTGATTCATTGCTAAAATTGTAAAAAAAAAAAAAATCATTCATGTACACAACAGTCTTTCTTCTGACCAGTCAATCACAAATGACATATTTTGTTAATACTGCTTTGCAAAACATAATGGAAAACTGACTACCCTGCTGATTAGAACATCTTGTCTCAGAGCAGAAATTGGTATTATGCCAAAAGTTTGAGGGGCAGTTTTTAAGGCAGATAGGATGACTTTGAATCAGTTAGAAACTGTCAGATCCTGTCAGATTCCTCCTAATCTAGGAAAAATGCTATTTTTTTCCTTCTGAAAACTTCTTGTATTTAGCCTATACCTCTGGTATTTTATCACCTTTGTAATCAAAAATTAGTTTTATGTCCAACTAGAATAAAACTATAACTATCACAAAGAATGAAAAATAGAATTTAGTACAAATCATTGTTTCTTCTTAAAACTTGTATATCCTTTAGATTTTTGTGTTTAATTATGAATTCCCTATGGCATTATGCAGTCAATAGCCTGAAAGACTTCTACCAATTCTGTTGTTTTCATAGCATAGTAGCACTATTTAATTAGAACTTCTTGAAGATATCATTCTTTACAGAATTTTGTCTCAGAGCGTGTTTCTAGAATATCACCATAAGCAAGTCAGGTATGCAACTACAAAGTAAGAGTGCTAAAAGATAGCTGGGTATTGTAGTGCATGTCTGTATTCCCAGCCAGGGGGGAAGGAAGTTTACAAGTTTGAACAACCTCATCTACCTCATCTATATAGCATGACCCTGTCTCAAAAAAAAAAAAAAAAATTAGTCACTGGCTACACCATAGGTACGAGGCTTTAGGTTCAGTCCACAGCACTATAAGAAAAAAACAAGTCTTCATTTAGCTGGGCATGGTGGTCCACACCTGTAATCCCAGCACTAGGAAAGCTGAGGCAGGAGGACTGCCAAGTACCAGGCCAGCTTGGGCTAGTGAGGCTTGCCTTGTCACAAAAAAATCTAAAAAATGGGGGGTGGGGTGGCAGCTAGTGAGCCCTTATTTCAAAAAACCTATAAAGAAAAAAATAGGGGGCTGGAGAGATGGCTCAGGAGTTCAGAACACTTGCTTAGAGGACCCAGATTCAGTTCCCAGCACCCACATGGTAGCCAACAACTATTCTTAACTCTAGTGGTTCCAGCTCCCTCTTCTGGCTTCCATGGGCATTGCATACACATGGTGCAGACATGCAGACAAAACACTAATACACATAAAATTTTTAAAAAGAAACAGGAAAAAAAAATGAAGGAAAATACTCATGGACCAGCCTTCCTCAGAATTTTCATAAAATTATATTTGGCTCTCCTGCATTTATGTCCTTAATTAAGTTATGAATACAATGACCTCTGAGTTTTATGGCAAGTGTTTTAGAGATTTCTGTCATTCTAGATATTGGGAAGACTCTTTAAATTTTCTTTCAAATTCAATTAAAGGCTCCAAACACGAGCAGTGTTTTTGCTATGTAACTATATAAATTAAAGCTTTTTTTCTTTCCAAATGTTTTTCTGTCCTCTCATCTTCTATAGGAAAGAAGAAATTCATAGCTCACTTCATTCTTTGGAGATAAAATCTGATTGTACAGCATTATGACATCATTTTGTTTGTGACACCATACCCAGCCTAGATCCTCCCTTTATTTTTGAGACAGCATCTCTCTGTAGCCCCAGCTGGCTTGGAACTTGCTATGTAGACTGGCTGGCCTTGAACTCACAGAGATCCACCTGCCTCTGCCTCCTGAGTGCTAGAATTAAAGGTGTGTGCCACCATGCCCACCTGAGAAAGTTCTCATTTTCACTATTTGAAATTATCTTACCTACCCCTCTGTGCTTCCTTATTATGTCCTTGAACCTGTCCCTATATAGTATCTTTGAAAGTATTTGCCATTTCTTCCATCCAAAAATATACAAGTAAATACAGCCTTCCTGGGAAGACTTGAATCACTAAGATTTAACTTCCACTTTGCTATTGTATTTCATACCTAGGTGGATTTGACAGTTTGCCCCTAGGACACGAACTTGGCCATGTTCTCTCTTAAATAATGCTAGATACGCTCTCTCTGCTCAGAAATGCTAAGTCTTAAAAGTATGATAAAAGACCAGTTTGGAAAAGTCCATTTTCTTAATCAGGAGATCACATTTTACAATAACATTCTGAATTTATTATTTTACATTTATCATGTACTCACGTTCTCATAGGTACCTGAGCATATCTCATAGAAGTGGTCCCTGTTGTCAACGAGCATACATCATAAAAGATTTTGACTTAAAGCAGAAACAGACTGAGAAACCAGCTCTCAATATTTAGCCACCATTTTGTAGCATCTTTGATTTGAAGAATTTCATATACTTTAGTAAGACACAGTAAAGGTGATGGGATAGAAATGAGATCAGAAGTTCATGAGTACTATTTCCTGAGGACAGAGAGATAGTATCATTGAACATGAGGAAAATCCTGGAATGCTCTTATAGGGTTGCCAGAGACTCAAAGAAGACAAGAATCTCAGGAATGAATGGAGGGGGGGACACCACAATAAAATAGTTAAAAATCTCATTTAAAGCCAGGCATGTTGGCACACACCTTCGATCCCAGATCCTAGCACCTGCAGAGGCAGTTGGATCTCTGTGAGTTCAAGGCCAGCCTGGTCTACATTGCAAGTTCCAGGCCAGCTGGGGCTACAGGGAGACCCTGTCTCAAAAAGACAAAAAAGGGCTAGAGAGATGGCTCAGCGGTTAAGAACATTGGCTGCTCTTGCAGAGGACCTGGGTTTGATTCCCAGCACCTACATGGTGGCTAACAACTGTCCTTAACTGCAGTTCCAGGGGAATCTGATGCCTTCTTCTGATCCCTGCAGGCATTGCACAACACGGGAGCACTTAAACACATGCAGGCATAACATTCAGACACAAAAATATTTTTTTTAAGTAAAAAACAAAATCTATTATTTGTATGCAAAGTGTTCATATAATCAAATTGCTCAGAGAAATGTGCCTTTAATCCAGAATTATTTCAGAGTATCTTACTTACCCTTTATGTTGATATATCGTATTTCATTAGTCTCCCTTTAAAAAAGTATTATTTTCACTTCTCCATTGCAGATTTTCTTTTCTGTATTAAAATAGACATCAGAGCCAGCCATTTTCCTGATGGGAAATTTTCTGAACTAATTTTCAAGGTGTATAATAGGGAGAGGGCAGGGGAGAAGCACTCCTGGAGACAGCAAACAATTAATTATATTGTAATGGAGCTATAGAGGGAGGAGTGGATGACTGGCCCAGAGAAAACATGATTTCTCTGGTGCCAGGATTACACTCAGAGGCATTTCTGCCTATCTCCACTTTGCAAGGCACGGTGCCAGTGAGAACAGCAGTTAGTGCATTCATAGTGGGGTTTACTAGCTTCCACACCGTGTTTGGTGGGTTCTTAACTTCAGGATAAGGAATTAAATTTTTTACCCAGCAGGAAGTGATTGCTATTTACTGATTTTTTTCTTGGTAGCAAAGATCTAGCTTGGGATATGAGTATTCCAGAGATGTGTTGTCATAAGGAAGGAGATGCTAACAAATGCTGCTCAGTGGAATCAAGGAAAAGCAGGAACCACATCTGTGTGTGCGCATAGCCAGGAACACACCTGTGCAAGTCAACACCTGCCTCACATGTGATAGCACTGTGCACTTAGCATTTCTTGTGACCTCCTCCCTTCTTGCTGCTGGACATTCATGAAGTCCCTTTGTTTTCTATTGAAATGCACTGAATTGCCTCTTTTGGCAAACTGCCACAATGACCCAAAGCAGCCTGAGCAGCCCACACACTTTTTAAAAAAATATTTTATTTATTATTTTTATGTGTATGTGAGTATTGCCTGCATGTAGGTAAGTGCACCCATGTCATGTAATACCCAAGGAGGTCAGAAAGGCTGTTGGATCCCCTGGGACTGGAGTTATGGACAGTTGTTAGCTGCCATGAGGATGCTGGGATTTGAACCTGGATCTTCTGCAAGAACAACCAGTGTTCTTAACCACTGAGCCATCTCTCCAGCCCTGGCAGCAGCCCACACACTTTACTAAACCCACATGATAAATTCCTAGAAACTTGATCTTCATGACAGAAGCACTGCTATTACCCACCATGCTAGGCTCTTCTGATGCTGGCACAACTTAACTCAGGAAGGAAAGACTCCAGCCCTTTGCTGGCTTAAATGTAGCACAGTGGTATAGTGGTAAAAACGCTTAAACAGCAAGGTACTTTGGATTCAGTCACCAGCACTGAGGAGAAAAAAGTAATGGTTAACATTTATATGAGTAGAAAAAAAAAAAAAAAAAAAAAAAAAAAAACAGTGAATGTACAGAAGACTAATAGACCAATAGATAAATTCTGATTATGTACCTATCAACATATGCAAAGAGCCTGGTACTTCGACACTAGAAATCAATGTTGGTCAAATTCCTTAGATCTCAGGAAGTTACACCTTGACATGGGACTCCTGAAATCATCTTAGTGTCACTACTTGCCAGGTTGGTTAAAGGACATGTGGAATGGTAGCAAGCAATAGAAAGCTCTTTGTAAATGTGTAATATTTTGATCTTCATTGGGAAATGTTTGTTTTTTAGGGGACAGTATTTATTCAAAAATAAACCTCCCGATGAAAACGCTCCTCCCAACTCTTTTTATAGAGCACTTTATCCTAAAATTATACAAGATATTGAGGTAAGAATCTATTTATTTTTGGATATTTCCCAAGTGGTAGAGAATCACTAGTATTCTTCAGTTACAATATTGTTACAGAAAATCCATTAAGATTTATCAATGTGGGTTAAAAGTCAGTGTCTTTACTAGTGAATAGGATTGGTAAAATACAGTAAATGTCTAGGCAAATTTTGTAAAGCTTTTAAAAATGTTTGCTGATAAACAGATGAGAGGGCAAGAGAAGATTGCCACCTTCCTAACACAGCAATGGGACATTTGTACTCCTAAGCTGATACATCTTTCGAATTGAGCCTCCATGGAAGGTTGCACTGAGCATGCAGCCTTACCTAATGCCTAGTGTTCAGTTTGCCTATAGGTGTATATATCCCATAGACTCATACACTGAGGCATTGGTTCGGGTCCTTTCCTAATTAACTACCCCATTCAATCTTTCTTCTTAGACAATAGAATCCAATTGGAGATGTGGACGACATAGTTTACAGAGAATCCACTGTCGAAGTGAAACAAGCAAAGGAGTTTACTGTTTACAGTATGATGACCAGAAAATAGTAAGCGGCCTTCGAGACAACACAATCAAGGTGAAGTCTCTTGGGTTGCAGAGCATAGTTGTGGGTGCAAGGGTGACTGTGTTCATAAAGCAATCTGAAGCATAAACCCTAAGCATTATTTCTAAGGGTAGATTGGCTCCATTCCCAAAGCCAAAATCATTTCCTTAAAGGGAAGATGTCTGCTGCTCCCTAGAAAAGCCTACAAATGGATAGTCCCAGGGTTGAATTCTCTTCTTCAAGTGCACTGAGGGGGCTGTTATTCTTTTGGCCATGATCATAATTATAGGCTACCCTTATACCTTAATGAAAAGGATAAAGTTTGCATTAGAACCGAAGTCAACGTATATATATATATCGGTGCTTAACTGTACCGTAGGAAAGAATGCAGTCCACCCTCCTCCGGGCTTTGATGTTTGAGGGGAATCAAACACATAATAGAGCAACAAGTCTCCACAGCACCCCATTATCACAGTGATTAAAAGGATCTTGTTTGCCATCCTAGATCTGGGATAAAAGCACATTGGAATGCAAGCGAATTCTTACAGGCCACACAGGTTCTGTCCTGTGTCTCCAGTATGATGAGAGAGTGATCATAACTGGATCGTCGGATTCCACAGTCAGGTAAGAAATTTCAGCTGTTCTTTTGAACTCAAAATCAGCTCTGCTTTGTTCTTTGTCACAGATATTAATTTTCTACATGTCTGCATGAACACACTTCTGAAACTAAAGAGTCAACTATTTGCTTCCCATCATTTGTCAATCTAGAACAGAAAACTTGATTTAAGAATCATATGGGTAAATTTATATTTAAGAAACTACACTCACACATTTTAATTTGGAGACTCACGCATTATAAACACTTCCCTTCACTTTACGGTAAACCTTGCATTCCTTACAAAAACTACCTCACAGGGGAGTGATAGGACGAAAATGAAGCCCTCTTTCAGATGCTTATAAGTGCAGTGCAGGCGGTGCATTATCTTTTTCAAGAGCATGCAGGTGAGCAAGGCTGTCTCCTTGCAGCCCCTCCTTGGCCATCCCGCAGTTTTTAATTGCAAGCTTCACTCAGGGAAGGGCCCTCCATTTCCAGAGGCACCTGTGATTTGATGACACAGCCATCATGTTGCTGGAGTCCAGTGTAGTTTGAGTTCTGGGGACCAGCAGCACTGCTAGAAACCTGCTAGGAATTTTGCCTTCAGCTAAAGGATTTAGCAAACATAATGCATCAAAAGTAACTTAAAAAAAAAAAAAACTAGAATAAAAGCCAGTTAACTGCATTGTTAAATTCTCTGAAGTTATCCACTGTGAATAAGAAAAGCTGCTCCTGGTTCTGTACTTTGACTTCTAGGCATAGCAGACCCAGTCCTTGCAGTTTTCAGCAGTTAAATGTTTATCAGTGCTGTGGAGTGCCTCACAGGAGCTGAAATGTTGTAGGTACTTATGTCATATATAGGATAAAGGGGAAATTTTTTGTTTCAACCTGCTGGGATTGAACCCAGGGCTTCATGCATACTAAGCAGCACTTGACTCTACTGAGCTACACTGCAGCACAGAAAATTATTTTCTAAAAGGATGGTTAAACTGGAAAAAGAAAATAAAATATTTTAAAAGACAAAATCAAGCTGTGTGTGTTGGCACACACCTTTAACCCCAGCATGAGGCTGGCAGATCTCTTTTGAGATTGAGGCCAGCCTGGTCTACACAGTGAGTTCCATGCCAGCTAGAGCTACAAGGAGACTCTGTCTCAAGACATAGACATATACACAGAGACACAACAAAATCAGTACATTAAAAATAGAATAAACAAGGTAGTTTCTGTCATTTTACAATGAGAAAAGCTATCCAAAAACCCCACACTACAGTGAAGTCCATACTTACAGTGGGAAGGCTGCTCTTGACCTCTGGCCCTGAAAAACACAAAAATGGAGCCCTGGACTTGGAGTCTATATAGCCTTGGCCCTTGACTTAGGTGGAAAACTTACCCTCTAAGGAACTCAAACTCAGGTCTACATTATTAAGTCCGTGACAGAGCATCTTGGTCTGTGTTGGTTCTGGTTCCTAAGGGCAGTCACTACGACAGACAGTATTGCTATTATTAATCAGGTTTACAGTGTATATTCTTTTTTTTAAATTTTTCTATTTATTATTGTTATTTTTTGTGTATGAGTGTATTGCCTACATGTATGTAAGTGCACCCATGTTGTACAGTGCCCACAGAAGTCAGAAGAGGATGTCTGATTCCTCTGGAACTGGAGTTTTGGATGGTCTTTATCCACCATGTGGGTGCTAGGAATTGAACCTGGGTCCTCTGCGAGAGTAGCCAGTGCTCTTAACTGCTAAACCATCTCTCCAGCCCCTACACTGTATCTTCTTAATGGTGTCAGTTGAATGTCAGTTTTCTTTTTTTCTCCTTTTTTTTTTATGTCAGTTTTATAATAACCTTGAAGTCTGCTGGGTGTGATGGCACATGCCTTTAGTCCCAGCACTCAGGAGGTAGAGGCAGGTGGATCTCTGTGAGTTTAAGGCCAGCCTGGTCTACTAGTGAATACAGGGGCTACAGGGAGACCCTGTCTCAAAAAAAAAAAAAAAAGTCTGAACCAAATTATCAGATGCTTGCCTCCTCATCCCAGCCCACTACATCTTGGTCAGATTTCACTTTTCGCACGCACGTGTGGTGTGTGTGTGTGTGTGTGTGTTTGGTTGTTTGATTGGTTTGAAAAGGATCTCCCTGTAACCCCAGCTGACCTGGAATTTGCTATGTAGACCAAGCTGGCCTCAATCTTACAGAGATCCACCTGCCTCTGCCACCCAAGTACTGGGATTAAATGTGGGCACCATCATACCCAGCTCAGATTTCACTTCTTCTGGACTCTACACTGGAAGCACCACTTTCCCTCCTCTTTTCTATGCTTCTTTCAGCATAGTCCATCAGTGCACTTCAGTGCTGCAAAAGAAGAGCACAGCACTTGCCATGAAGGGGGGTGGGGGGGGTGGCAAACACTGTGGTCAAATACAGGTAATACATTGTAATTTGAGTACCATCTAACTCTCAGATGTCCCTTTCAGAGTGTGGGATGTAAACACAGGTGAAATGCTAAACACATTGATTCACCATTGTGAAGCAGTTCTGCACCTGCGTTTCAATAATGGCATGATGGTGACTTGCTCCAAAGATCGTTCCATTGCTGTATGGGATATGGCCTCACCAACTGACATCACCCTCAGGAGGGTATTGGTGGGACACCGAGCTGCTGTCAATGTTGTAGACTTTGATGACAAGTATATTGTTTCTGCATCTGGAGATAGAACCATAAAGGTAATCAAGCATTTTTCAGTAAATTCCAAGGCCACAGTGCAATGTCATTGTAGAATAATATTTATTTCTATAAATAATGGTAATGGGCTTGGAGATGTTGCTCAGTGGTAGAGTACTTCCCTAGCTTGCCTAAGGCCCAGTATGAAAAAATAGTGGCAATGCTGGTGATTATGGTGATAATGATGTGTGAGGAGGGCAGATGAAGTTCAAAGACATGTACCTACAGGAGCTGGGAAGATAGCTACTTTGGTAAATTGGGAAGCACAAGGAGTTAGATCCCTAGAGCCCATGTAAAAAGCCAGGTGTGGCAACGGGTACCTGTAATCCCAGCACTGGAGAGGCAAAGATGAGCAGATCTCTGGAGCTTACTGGCCATTCAGTCTATCAAAATCTATGAGCTTCAGGTTCCAAGACCCTGTCTCAGAAATTAAGGTGGAGAGCCACTGAGGAAGACACTTGGTTTCCATGTTTACCCACGTGTGCATGCATGCGCACATGTGCACTCACACACAAGAAAATATACCTGTAAAAGAAGACTTAGTTCCATAAGAGTAAATCAGTTTGAGAAATTCTCTTATGATGGCAACCAGCTTGTTTCACCTTGTTCTGTTGACCTCTCGTGACTCACTTCTGTTTTCTGCCTGCCCAGTCCTCTGATTTCTACTAGTAGAAGTACCTGATCAACTGCTCAGTGTTATTTTCTATCTCAGGTATGGAACACAAGTACTTGTGAATTTGTAAGGACCCTAAATGGACACAAGCGAGGCATCGCCTGTTTGCAGTATAGAGACAGGCTGGTGGTGAGTGGTTCATCTGACAACACTATCAGGTAAGCAGCGGGTACCTTTTGCCAGAATGGATCCATATTATCTTCCCAGTCAATATTTGTGCACAGATCTTGTAGTCTCTAATTGTGTTTATAATCAAATAATTTTCCTTTCTGTAGCTTCTTACAGGTCAAACGTTTGCCCCATTAGAGAAGCAGCACAGCAAAGCCTTTTGCTATAATACTTTTCTCATCAGATAGACCTATTTCTGAGGTACTGCTTAAGTAAGGAAGACAGCTGGATGAAGGTTGAAGGCCCTTCTTTTTAAATTGCTTGCCCACAGTTGGAACATGTTAACAAGGCCATGTCTCCATGTTACTATTGCTGAAAATAGAAACAAAAAAGATGTTACTCTACTAGAATCATGTACTTTTTTTCTTCAGTATCATAACTGGTTAGAGAGCTGTCCTTTAAATTGTGAAGATTCCACAGTCTAAGTACATTTTTGTGACATTTTTCTCCCTTCATAAAAATAAATGACAGCTATATGGTTAGAATTTGGAAGTTTGGGGGCTGGAGAGATGGCTAAGTAGCTAAGAGCATTGGCTACTCTTAGAGAGGACCTGGATTCAGTTCCCAGCATTCACTTGGCGACTAACAACCACGTGTAACTCCAGTTCCTGGGGATCTGACACCCTCTTCTGGGCACCACACACAGGTGGTACACTTACATACATGAAAGCATACATAAAATAGAAATTACATACATAAAATAGAAATTAACCTTTTTTAAAAATTTGGAAAATTTTTCCACCCTCTCCTTTCCTTCCATGGAGAGTGAATGAAGAGGTAATTTGAAAAACAAGAGATCTGCTACTCTAAGAAACATATTTCTAGAAGTCACTTGGATTGGGCTAAAAGCATATATAGATTTTCAAATTACTGCAGAAAACTTGTCAAGATCTGGCTTTGCCTTTTTGTTGTATAAAGAAGGCTGTCCTGAACAGTGGTGAAAGCAGTATGTCCTTGAGGCAGAGAGGGAAGTAAGCTGTGAGGGCCAATTAGTTACTGACACAGTGTATCTTGTTCTTAAGGGTGACTTCAGGAAGTATTATTCTCTTGACCTGGTCATTTTCTTCTCCAGGTAACTGTATGCATTGAGTTTATGTCTGGAAGAACCTAATAACAGAGTTATATGAAGCATTGTGCTTTGAAAACACAGATTGCATTTGAACTTAAATCACACATTTTTTTCTGACTGTATGACAGACAGGAAATTAATTATATCAAACGTAACACACTTTTGAATGTTGGTGATTGACCTTTGTGAATTTTTAAAGAACATATGAAGTATACTGTAATATTCCAGGCTTAGAGAAGAATCCATGAAAATTCACTTGATTCAATTTTCTCTTACAGATTATGGGACATAGAATGCGGTGCATGTTTACGAGTATTAGAAGGCCATGAGGAATTGGTACGCTGCATTAGATTTGATAACAAGAGGATAGTGAGTGGGGCCTATGATGGGTGAGTTGCTAACAATATTTACAAAACAGATATAAGAGCTCAGTTTGTACTCAGTGGTAGAGCATGTTCTTAGCATATGCAAGGCCCTGAGTTCAGTCCCCAGCACCTCCCTTCTCCAAATCTACATCTTAATTCTTCCTGGTTTATGATGTTAAATGTAACCTTTCTTTGACTCTAAAAGTTTATGCAGTGTTTCCTTAATTTATATTCACCTCTCTTGCTTGCTGTTTTCTAAAATATTCTCCCTAGCCATTTTATTGCATTTGTATTGATTATTATTTTGGCTATTTGATTATATATTTGCCTATTTTGCCCCATAAAGCAAAGTACCAGACAAATCCAACATAACAGTCTAAGTATATGAATAGTTATTGTAAGAATGAATATAAGGACCAAGTCTCCCAAACAGAAAAGTCATCTATAGTGCATTGAGCTGAATTTATTTGTAACATAGACTGCATTCATTATCCAAAGTTATTTCCATAACTTTTTGCTGTTTTTCCTTGCATTCCCTTAAGTTTGCTTTTAACTAAGACTTTGCTCCCCTTTTTGATCTTCAGAAAAATTAAAGTATGGGATCTTATGGCTGCTTTGGACCCCCGTGCTCCTGCAGGCACTCTTTGTCTACGGACACTTGTGGTAAGAGCCTTATTGTTTAAAGGAGGTTGAAAATCAGGTAGGGAAAAGATTAAATGTTAATGTACTATAGAATATAGATCTGGATTTTATTTCATAGTTACAATCTTACAAAACCTACTAAATGGAAAGGCAACCAATACATGACAATAAAATATGTTTATATAGTGCCTTTCATCCAAAAGTGCTTTAGAGACTATATGTGGAGAGGAATGTGGCAGCTGTTTAACAGCTGCACAGTAGCTCTTCAACATGTAGCACAGGAAGTGAATAAGAATTCTGTATCCACCAGAATCAGCAGGAGGTACTGAGGGAGAGAGAATATAATTACTCAATTGGAACTGGTCCAGAATCTGAGGACCTGAACACCTGTGCTTGCAAAAAGTACTCTGGGAATCTGTGAGAACCCCCTGGTCAGCCCCTTAGTTCTCATCTCATTCAATAGGTGATCCTTGCACAACGTGAATCCCATCTTTGTTATCCTGTTTATTCTTATATCTGAACATCTTTCTTTTTTTTCTTTCTTTTTTTTTTTTTTTTTTTTTTTTTTTGAAATTTTTTTTTTTTTTTTTTTTTTTTTTTTTTTTTTTTTTTCTTTTGGTGAGTTTTTTTGAGACTGGGTCTCACTGTGCACTAATGTCACCCTGGCTAGCCTGGAACTCACTATGTAAATCAGACTGACCTCGATCTCACAAAAAGATCTGTCTGCCTTTGACTCCTGAGTACTGTGATTAAAAGCATGCGCTAGGACACCCTGCTTCTTATCTGAACATCTTGACACTTGGGGAAAGAAGTGAGTCACAAGGAGGAATGTCACCTTCAAATTCTGTTTCTGTCAGGGCCTCACTATGTAGCCCTGGCTGGATTGAACGTGCAGTCTTCCTGTCTTTACTTCCCAAGTGTCTTTACTTCCCAGCCTGTGTCCACCACACCTGGCTTAAAAGCATAAAATTCTTTACCATGTTATAAGCCAAAGGCCCAGATTGACAAATGTTTAGATGTGTATGGCTCCTGAGTGGAGAGAATCTTTTGCTCAACTCGGAAAAGAATGCTTCCTTTGAGAGGAAGCAGTCAAAGCCCAGTGTTCTAAATTCTGACTCAACGTTCAGGAGGAGTCTTAAGCCAGGCATGGTAGCACAGGCCTTTAGTCTCAGCAGAGAGAAGACGCAAGCGAATCTCTGAGATTGAGGCCAGCCTGATCTTCAGAGTAAGTTCCAGGCCAGCTGGGGCTATAGGGAAATCCTGTCTCAAAAAGACCAAAAAAAAAACAATAACAACAACAAAAAACCAACATTCAGGAGCCTCAAGCCTGGAGAAGAGAGAGGAGCACATTTCTTGTCTTTCGAGGATTTAAAGCACATTCTTGAGCTGGGTGTGGTGGCACATGTGTAATCTCAGCGAAGCTAAAAGACAAGAAGGTTACCATGAGTTCCAGGCCAAAGCTGAAAGACAAGAAGGTTACCATGAGTTCCAGGCCAGCCATTAGTAATTTGTGTGTGTGTGTGTGTGTGTGTGTGTGTGTGTGTGTATCTTCCTAGGGGTCAAACAACTCAGACCTTCATGCGTGCTAGAGAAGCATTCTATCAGTGGACTATATCCCAGCCCATAGATAGTTTTTATAAACACTATATGCAGGTCTGGAAATATATGAGTTCATTTCTCTGCAGTAAATAAAATACTTAGCAGCAGAGTGACTGGGTCATGCAAAAGTGTGTAATATCTCCAGAAACTGCCTATTTTCCAAAGTGGTTGTACATTTTGTTATTGTCTTTGTTTTGATGCCTACAACACACTCTTTTTTTAAGCAATCAGCTTTTGTTTGTTTGGGTTTTGGTTTGTTAATTTCTAAATTTATTCATTTATTTTTATTTTCTGTATATGAGTGTTTTACCTGCCTGAATGTAAGTGTACCTGTTCATGCAATGCCCACAGAAGCCAGAAGAGGGCATTAGTTCCCCCTGGAACTGACAGATGGTTGTTAGCTACCATGTGGGTACTGAGAACTGAACCTCAGTCCTCTGCAAAAGCAGTCAGTGCTCTTAACTGCTAAGCCATCTTTCCAGCCCCTTTTGGTTTTAATCAGCTTACTTTGACTTATGCTTTTGCCTTTTCAGTTGCCCTCTGTTTCTAAAATCCAGGTTTTCATCTTGGAATTTAATTTTCCTTCTGCTTAATGAATTTCTCTTAGTATTTCATAGTCTGGTACACTGGTGACAAATATTTTCACCTGTTGTTTGCCTGAAAAGTCTATTTTGCCTTCTTCTTTTTTTTTTTTTTTCTTTTTGAAGCAGGGTCTTCCTGAGCCCCAGCCGGCCTAGAACTCACTTTGTAGACCAGGCTGGCCTTGAACTCACAGAGATCCGCCTGCCTCCCAAGTGCTGAGACTATAGGCGTGCACCACCACACCCAGCTTTGCCTTCATTTTTAAAGGGTATTTTTGCTGACTAAAGAATTCTGAGTTAACAGCTTCTTTGAGCACTTTAATGTTGCCTCTCTGTTTTTTTCTGGCTTGGTTTCTGATGAGACTTTTGAAGTCATTTCTCTCCATTGCTCTGTGTGTAATGTATCATTTTCCTGTGACGGCTTTAAGATTTTCTTCTTGTCACTGGTTTTCATCAACTTGATTATGATATATCGTGGTGTGATTTTCTTTGTATTTTCTCTACTTGAGATTGAGAGAAATTATTACTGGATCCAAAAACAAGACTGAGCTAGCTGCATGTTGTCTACAAGAACCTTCTTTATGGGCTATAGGTATAGCTCAGTTGGTAGAGTGCTTGCCTAGCTTGCATGAAACTCTTAGTTCAATCCTCAAAACCACATAAACCAGTTGTGAATCCTAGCACTTGAGAGGTGGAGGCAAGACAATCAGAAGTTCAGGGTAGTCATCATCTACATATGGAATTTGAGGCTCACCTTGGCTACTTGAGACCTTTTCTTTTAAAGTGGTGGGGGGAGAGGCAGAAGAGATGACTCAGTGGTTAAGAGTACTAGCTAGCTGTTCTTCCGGAGGACGTCAGTTCAGTTCCTAGGACCCACATGGTGGCTAACAACCGTCTATAACTCCAGTTCCAGGGAATCCAACTCCCTCTTCTGTCCTCTATGGGCATTAGACAACAGAGGTATACTTACTTACATGTAAGCAAAACACCCATATACATAAAATAAAAACATTTTTTTAAAAAAGGAGAGAGTTGTGTTTGGCAATGCATGCCTTTAATTCAACACTTGGGAGGCAGAGGCAGGTAGGTCTCTGTGAGTTCCAGGCCAGCCAGGTTTACATAGTCAGACCTTGTCTCAAAAAAAAAAGAGGCTGGAGGGATGGCTCAGCAGTTAAGAGCATTTGCTGCTCTTCTAGGGGACCTGAGATCGGTTCCCAGAGCCCATGTCAGGTGGCTCACAGCCCCCTATAACTCTAGCTCCAGAGGATCTGATATCTACTTTAAATGTAAAGGCACACATAAGTAAAAGGTGGAAACTGGTAAGGTGGTACATGCCTATAATCCTAGCACTAGGGAGGCTAATGCTGGAAGATCATGAATTTGGAGAGCAACCTGGGCTTTGTAGAAACATTCTGTCTCAAAAATCCAAGGACTGAGATATAATGCAGTGGTAGAGTGTGCCTAGCATGCCTAAGGCTCTGGGCTAGATTCTGAAGAAAAAAAAAGTAGAGAATGATGTACCATGTGTTATAGATTGAATTTTGTCTTCCTGAAATTCATGTGTTGAAATTTTAATCCCTAATACATCAGAATTTGACAGTATTTGAAGACTGAATTTTTTAAAAGGTAATTAAGGTCAGATGCATTCATTTAGGTAGGCATTATTCCCACATGACCTTATTCCCACATGTCCTTAGAAGACAACAAGATCAGGGCACAAAGATGGAAAAGCTTGTGAAGGTGGAGAAGACATCCATCTACAAGCCAAGGGGACAGTTAAACAATTCTACTAGCACCTCCATCTTGTACTTTTAGCCTCCAGAGAATGAAGAAATAGATTTATCTTTAAGCCACTGAGTGTGTGGTACTTCCTAAGGAAATTTTTGCAAACTAAGATCCCATTTTATTCCCAGCTTAGAGTAACCTTATTAATTTCAGACAGAGCAAACTGTAGAACATGGAATATTATCAGGTACAAAAAGGTGTTTTGCATAATAATAAAGGGACAGACTCATCAAGAAGATAGAACAGTCTTAATGTGTATATACCTAATGACAGTGTCAAATACATGTGATAAAAAATTGATAAAACTGCAAGGAAAATAGATGAATACACTTTTATAGTGGAAGATGTCACATCCTGTCATGGGCAGATCTACTGGACCGCAAATTCAGTAAGAACATAGTTGAGGGGGCTGGAGAGATGGCCTAGCAGTTAAGAGTACTGACTGCTCTTGCAGAGGACCCAGATTCGATTCCCAGCACCCACATGGCAGCTATGAACCATCCTTAACTCCATTTCCAGGGGAATCTGAAGCCCTCTTCTGACCTCCACGGCATTGCATGACACGGGTGCACTCACATACGTGCAGGCAATACACTCATACATATAAAATAACAATAATAAAATATTTTTAAAAAAAGAACATAGGGGCTAGACAGATGGCTCAGCAGTTAAGAACACTGGTTGTTCTTGCAGAAGACCCGAGTTCGAATCCCAGCACCCACATGGCAGCTAACAATTGTCTGTAACTCCAGTTCCAGGGGATTTGATAGCCTCCAAGGGCATTGCACAACACAGGTGCACTTACCTACATGCAGGCAATACACAAATACACATAAAATAAAAAATAAATAGCATATTTTTTAAAAAAAAACAGTTGAACTCAGCAGAAACATCACTAAGAAAATTTTTCTTGAAAGAATGGAAACAGTATCTTCTCAGATACACCCCAATGAAATTAAAGTAGAAATTAGTAATAGACCAGCTGGGGCTACAGGGAGACCCTATTCACAAACAAAAAAAGAGGGCTGGAGAGATGGCTCAGTGGTTAAGAGTTGCTCTTGCAGAGGACCCAGGTTCAATTCCCAGCACCCGCATGGTGGCTAACAACTGTCCTTAACTCCAGTTCTGAGGGATTCTGATGTCCTCTTCTGACCTCCAAGGTCATTGCAGGCACTGGTGCACTTACATGCATATAGGCAGTATACTCATACACATACGCATAAAAAATAAAAATAATGAAATTTTTTTTCTTTTTAAAAAATAATGAAAAAAAAATTTTTTAATGTGAGATACAGTGAAATTAGTGCTTAGAGAGAAATTTACAGCATGTGTTTAAAAAAGTGAGGTGGCTGGGCATGGTGGCACATGCCTTTAATCCCAACATTTGGGAGGCAGAGGTAGGCAGATCTCTGTGAGTTCCAGGCCAGCTGGGGCTACAGGGAGACTGTGTCTCCAAAAAAAGTTAAAGAAAGGGAAAAAGAAATTATCTAGGGGCTGGAGAGATGACTTGGCAGATTAAGGGCACTGCTTTTACAGAGGACCTGAATTTGGTTCCTGGTACCCACATGGTGGCTTACAACTGTCCTTAACTCTAGTTCAGGGAATCCAGTGCCCTCTTCTGGCCTCTGCAGGCATTGCATGCACAGATGCATTTACATGCAGGCAGAACACTCATAAAATAAATCAAGAAAACTTTCTGAATCAACAGTACTAGCATTGGAGGGAAGGTGATATCATTCGTAGTATGTGAGACCAGGCTCATGATCTTAGAAAAGCCAACTGTTAGAATTTTGCAAAATGATTGACTATTCGTGGGTACCTTCAAATTGGCCATGATAGGACTTTGTATACCATGAAAATCTGTAAATGCTTTTACAAATTGAGGAAGTTAGGCTGGCAAATATTTACCAGTATGTCACTTTTTACTGCTAGCCACTCTTTGATCTCCCTTTGATTGTCAAAGGAGCTTACAGATACAGAGAGGATAAAGACCAGGGAGAGGAATGGTCTTCCAGCCTCTTTACCATTTGCCTAAGTAATACTGCATTGTTTTCTGTGTTCCTGAAATGAGTTCTTGCCTCGTATTTGTTTTCCATCCTGCCATTAGTGAAATATTTCTTTCATGTTTGAAGCAGCTCAGTGGTAAAGAACACGGTTGCCTTCCATTGGCTCTCTTGAATATGCTGCTGAGTTCATGTTCTCTTGTTTTGAATAGTTCAAATCCTTACTTTCTGTTTCTGCTTCTTTAGGAACATTCTGGAAGAGTTTTCCGACTCCAGTTTGATGAATTCCAGATTGTCAGTAGTTCACATGATGACACAATCCTCATCTGGGACTTCCTAAATGATCCAGCTGCCCATGCTGAACCTCCCCGCTCCCCTTCTCGGACATACACCTACATCTCCAGATAAATAACCCAACACTGATCTCATACATGCCCAGGTACGAAAAGAATTATATACATGGCACTGGGTGGGGATAGAGTACTGGCCACGAGGTGCTGCCAGCTCCTGAGGATTTCTCATTCTCAGACCCTCTTTTTCACCAAGGCCTGTAAAACAGGGAAGCAGAAAGCATGAGATGGGGGTAGGGACTGCCCCAGTGGGCAGTAGCTACTTTCACCAAAGTAGCCAGTCCTCAATTATAGAGGATTCTAGACTCCTCCATATGTAGTAGAACCCTAATTATTCCTTCAGTACAATTTTTATAAAAGTAAAATGATATTTGAATCAGTTTGAAAACTAATAGCCAAAAGCCTGTAATTATATAGTTCTTAGATCAAGTATACCGCCAAGCGAGACCCTTTCAGTCTAGCAAGTAATCTAACATGTGACTGGAAGCTTCTCAATAATTTTCCCGCTGACCCCTAGCCTTCTTGGTCTCATTGGGTCTAAAAGGTAGCTTTTCCATCTCCCACAAGCGAATACCTGCTTTGTTTGCTTTTTTTAACCTCAGTGGTGGCTCTGAAGTTAATATCCTTCCCCTTGGGTCTCAAGTACCTCTCTGAGGGCAGGGCAAATCCAAAAATGCCCAGGACTTCTATACGAGAGTGAATCTAGTGCATACCTGGTATCTTCATCGTCCAGATATACTAGGTTGTTGATGTTTAGGAAGTTGAGCATCAGCTGCTAAGGAGTGTAACCCTTGAGGTGATCTCTCATTCCTCATGCTTGCCTTGGTTCTTATGGCCGAAGTGTCATTCGCTGTACTTCTGCACCTCTGTGTTGTTCTTTCTGAGGGTGTGGCCATGCCTAGTGGGCTCTCCTCAGTGCCTTTGCTGTCATAGAGGGTACAGTTTGGTCAGCCAGATCACACTGGGCAAGGAAGTTCATGGCTATCATTTCCTAAGGAGTAAAATGAAGGGTACAGAACCCACGTCACAGGACTTGGTGAATACTGCATGAAGAAACTGTTTACAGACATAGTGCCTCACACCTAATAAGCCCTTTCTAAAAAGTAGTCATTGTTATTGATTTTGTGATCATTGTGTACATATCTGCTTTTTTTTTTTTTAACCAAAGTTTGCTTTTCAGATTTAATAGCATTTTGGTTTTTTAGGAGATGGAGGCCAGTAGTATGGAGGGTAGGGTCAGACTCATGCTAAGCACATGTCCAACCACCAAAATTTGCCCCTGACCCTCATTTTTATTTTTCCTAACTTTGTTAACATCTCTTTCCTCCTGTCACCCTGAAACAGATACCTCCTGGGCTAGGCATTTTTGGCTCATCTAAGCTTTCCTCTTGAGCTGTCTTATTTTTCCATGGCTCTAGCTCTCAATTTTTTTTTCTTTTTCTTTTGTCTTTTTGAGACTGTAGCCCCAGCTGGCCTGAAACTCACTATGTAGACCAGGTTGGCCTTGAACTCACAGAGCTCTGCCTGCCTCTGCCTCTGCTGGGACTAAAGGCGTGTGCCACCATGCCCAGCTGATTCTCAAATTTTTATCTCCAGTATCACCCTCTGTCTTAATCTACAGGCCACACTTCCACCACAATCTACACATCTGTCTCTGAAGAGACCAGGAGTATTTTTAGTGTTCACATACACGATCCCTTCAGCTATGTCCAGGCAGCTTCCTCCCAGTGGTGCCCACTTCTGTACCAGGTTTCTCAGGCAGAGCCCCACAGCCATCCCTGCTTGCTCCACTATTCTAGGGAGCAGGAAAAGGCATAACCATTGGTGATTCTTAACCTTAGGACATCAGAGTCCCACTGCATAGAACACCAGCACCCAGAGCATGTGGAAGCCCTGTCCTTTGTGTAAGTTCCCAGTAAGGCCAAGGAACCCGTGACAGAAAAACTGCATGGGTAGAGAGTAACCCTTGGGAAGGACCCCAAGCCTTTCTCATTGACAATAACATGAATGTTTTTATTGTCTTAGAGCAAGTGAGAAGTGAAGGGAAAGGGGCTAATGACTATTTGCTGTGTTTTCACACAGGACTCATTAATGTTGCAGTATTTAACATATCTGCCAAGATCAGGATGAACAACAGCAACAATCAAACACCTACCCGGATTCCCCGGACCGATCAGCAAGGAGCAGGGCTTTGAGACTCCTATTGGGACATAGTCGGTCGGCAGCTGACCAGGACGGTCTGCTCAGCACAGCCGACTGCTTCAGTGCTGCTATCAGAAGATGTCTTCTATCTTGTGTGAATGATTGGAACTTTTAAGCCTCCCCTCTCTTTTCCTCCTGCTTCCCCTCTGCACCTGTTTCTTTCCCATTGGGTTCCAGGGAAAGATGACTTATAAATATATTTAGTGTTTTGCCAGAATCTTTCTTGCTTTGCCATTAAGCAGAAGAACTAGTTTCCCCATCTGGCCCACTTCTAGGAGACAAGAGAATGCAGCTTCCTTGCAGAGAGTACCTGGTGTCCCCTATTAACTGCAGGAGTGTCCAGTGTCTGGCCAGAGCAGCTCAGGCGATTGCGTAGGAGGAAAGACACATCCTTGGAGGGGGAGCATGAGAGAAACACACACCAGAAGACCTGTGCCTGCTGCCTCCCTCTACTGTCTGGGTTTCTGTCTCTCTTCCCTCCTTCCCCCCATGCTATCTTCAACCTGTGAAGGTGTATGGAGAGTGCCCTCAATTAGAATGAGGTGAATCACCTAGAAAATTTGACACTTGTGTTCAGTCTCAATTTCCAGCCCAGACTTTTACTGCAAGTGACCCTGTGGTAGCAGTGGATTCACAAACATGACACTCATCTCGTGCAGCCTTTCTCTCTCTTCCTTGCCCCTGCCCAGGGGGAGGGACAGGAATGTCTTGGGCACGGTCAGTGGCTGAATCTCCTCTGGACTCAGCAGTCTCCTTGATTCCATGTTGAGTGTGGAAGGGAACTGCTGATTGCATTTCCTCTCATTAACAGTTAGATGTGTAATAAAAGGCATTGTGCTTCATCTTAAATCACTGGCAAGGCTCAGCCTGCAGAAATGTTTAGAGTAGCCAGTGCTAGGCACCCACTGCATTCAGTACCATGGCTCATATCTCTTTCTTAGTCTAAACCTGAGAGCTTCCACATACCATGGCTTCCCAGACCATGTGCACAGTAGCTTAAGGTAATCAGGAGTGAAACCCAATCTCCATTTAGGCCAGTAACCATCCCAGCCTTGTGCTGCAGCCCCTTCTATTTCTCCCAAACTCAGTATTTGCAAAGGGGATCAGGGTGAAGTTTGGTACACAGGGTTTACTAATAGGGCAGAAGCTGTCTTCTCTTTCCTTCTCTTCCTCCTCTCGGCCTTATTTTGTTCTCTCCTTTCCCCAGCCAATAATAAATTCTTGCAGTCAGTGAACAGCATAAGCAAGTGGACCTCCATAGAGGCTAAGCTGACCTGGCCACATGGAAAGCAGCACTGGGCCACCTTGCCAGTGGGTTTCAGACCAGAAGCCCAAGGGCCAGCCTGAGAGCACTTGGACTGTAAACCAGCTTGTTCTCCCCAGCATGCATGGGCCTGCTGAGGGATAGCCTAGGCATACCCTTATTCCATGAGGCTACAACACAGCCTCCCTCTTCCCTTGGAAGCTGAGCAGTCAGGCTATTGTTGCTGTACCTAACCATGTAGTTGAATTTAAGAAAGCCACCTTTGAACCGGCTGCTATTAAAAATAGAAATGAGCCAGGCATAGTGGCGCACACCTTTAATCCCAGCACTTGGGAGGCAGAGACAGGCGGGATCTCTGTGAGTTCAAGGCCAGCCTGGTCTACATAGTGAGTTCCAGAACAGCTGGGGCTACAGGGAGACCCTGTCTCAGAAAGACGAAAAAAAAGAAAAGAAAAGAAAAGGAAATGAGAGCCAGTTCAGTTCAGCAGGAGAGAGGAAAGAGGACATTTTCACTGTCTGATTTGTAAGTAGTTGTCCCAACATGTACCCAGAGTGAATGTTGTTACATAGCAAGAGGCAAGTCACATGTGTGCAGCCTTCCTGTGTTACTGTAGTCTCAAGTTATAGTCAATAACTATTCACATCCCCTTTCCAACCACTCACATGCAACAGAGAATTGTTTTCTAATTAGCCACTAGGAGTTCCTTTTCTATTACATTGACTATTAATGGTTTTTTGATTGGTGAAGGATTTGGTGCAGATGAAGATAGAGGGCTGCCAGCCCTGAAAAGCAGGTCAGATAGGAAGAAGCCTGAGCTGCTTCAAAAATAGTCTGATAGCCATAACTTTAGTAGCCCTTCAGTTATATGCTGCTATTCAAAAGTAGGAGCAGGGCTGGGGTATGACTCAGTGGGAGAACACTTGCCTAGCATTGTTCGAGGTTCTGGGTTTGATCCCTAGCATCAGGGGGGAAGTTCAGGTACTGTTCAATACTCATCGGTGCCCAGAACTTTGCTCGCCTTCCTAGATTCAGCTGAAGGTGTGCTGTTCTAAGCTGGTTGGGAAGCTTGGCCACCCATTTTACTTGAGAGCAGGGGTGGACCCTGCATATGTGAAGCCATTAGCTCAGTTAAGGTTTTTCTCCAAGTTGTCCTCTCTACTGCTGATGGAAATGGGAATGAAGTTAAGTGGTCTGAGAAACTTGAATCGTTCACATTTCTCAGCTCTGGGGGTCATTTACCAGTTCATTGTAGAAGAAATAATCAGGTAAGTAGAAGTTCATTTCCAGAGAAGGTAAACCCCACTTACCGTCTCTGCATGATTTCAGTGGGAATTGATTATCACTAATCCCCAACTGGGCTAGAATAAATGTAAAGTTTGACCTTTTTAAAAAGAAAAGAAACAAAGAATGTCTCAACACATTTAAAGGAATAGTAGAAAAGAAGCTGCAGTGTCCTGTGGCTCTGAAATGAAGCTCCCCCATGGTAGATTAGTCTCCTTCTACTAAAATCCACTCTCCAGTGTAGGACCTGAAAGACACCCTTCCAAAGACTGGGCAGATGGGCATGTGCACAGGGCTATCCCTGCTGGGACCTGGGCGACCTCTTTCACACCGGTGCTGTTTGGACAAGACCAGCATGCCTTGCTGCTCGTGTGTGTGTTGTGTGTGTGTGTGTGTGTGTGTGTGTCTGAG